AATTGGATAATGTTCGCATCCTGTCCCATAATTGGATCAGATATTCCATTATAGCACTAGCAGCGATGATAAATCGTGCCTGTTGCAATGGAAAGTTAGCAATTGAGCTTGTCAGCCACTGATTTGGCAGGGAATGATGATTTTTATGTGTTTCCTGTTTTATATACCCCTGTGACATCCCCTTTTGCAGTTGTGCTGTCTGAGAGATTCAATTAGTAAAATTATACGGAGTATAAGCTTCATGCACAGTGTTAAATGGGCAATCAAGCATGTTTTTAAAGGATAGCTTTATTTGAATCTCAATGGTGGATAAAAAACGATAATTCCGTCCATTTATGATCCACTAAAGTTCATTAACAAATCAAATCGATGCCCGATCCACTTAATCAATTCATCCATATTCTTATCACTTTTCTTGTTAGAGATGATTGATCACTACATAAAATGAGTAAGCATTCTGAAGTAATCAAATGAGTAGTATATCATTATTTGGGCCAATTATCAGCATTATTTAATCTCATTATTGTTTAGATGCACTACAACTTGATTATTTTGTAATCAATTATTGTTTAGATGCCCCAAAATCTTTTGGGAATACGGCTTGGATGTTGTTGTATTGTTTAGATGCAGTACTCCTTATTGTCTCCATTTGCTGATAAATTTCTTCTCGTAATAATTTTCAGCTAAAGGTTGTCAGTTGGAACAATAAAGTTTTCTAAAATCATCTGAATGGCTGTTGATCGGTATTTTGGACATGAACTGAAATCAATCTCAGAAGCAATAGAAGGATCTGAGAAGAAGACTTCTGCTTGCTTTGACTGTAATATTTGCTTGGATTTTGCAAATGATCCTGTGGTCACACTATGTGGACACCTTTATTGTTGGCCCTGCATCTACGAGTGGTTCAATGTTCAGGATCATTCGGACAATCATCTTCAATGCCCCGTTTGCAAGACTGAACTATCACTTACATCTGTGGTTCCTCTCTATGGCAGTGGCAAGAAGGTGTCTGAATCTGATCAGGAAACCAAACTTTCTTCCCTAGAGGTACCTCCAAGGCCATCTCCTCAATCCTTGATGGTCCCGACCTCTCCAAGGCTTTCATATCTTAGTAGTAATTTCAATCACGGGCCTGTAAACAATGCGTCACCCTCATTCAGCAACGGAATGAATCAAAATGTGGAGATGGTGTATGGTAGGGTGTTTGGGAACTCGGGAGGCATGTATTCATACCCGTTTTCGGGAAATGGTAGCCCGAGGTTGAGAAGGCAAGAGATGCAGGCAGATAAGTCGCTAAACAGGATAACAATTTTCCTTTTTTTTTGCCTCTTTCTATGCCTACTGTTGTTTTAATTTCATCCAATTTCTATTGGAGTGTACACAGTGTGTAAAAAGATCCGATTCGGATCAGGGAATCATACTGAATTACTGATGATGTAGTTTTCTGTCATGGTGGTTGTGAGTCCATTTTGATTGATATACGATGCTATGATTTGTCATAAAAAACCTCAACTGTTCTTCATTTTTACAAAATGCTCCTATATAATAAAGAATAAGGGATCATGATCTTGTACAGAGAAAAGTTTGTTGCTCTGTCCACCGGAATTTGATCATATCTTTACCAATGGTGTTTGTTTGTCCAGGCTGGGCAACTGAGAGCCTGAGAAGGAGCACCAACACTTTACATAGCTCGTGTTTAGCTGTTGGGCAACAGGAAATCGTGTTTAAGACTAGAAAACTTTAATTCCCATTTGAGTCATTTTCGTAGTTGAAAAGATTTAGAGACCTGTTTTTCTAAACAATTGGCGTTTTGTAAATATTGGTTCTGAGTTATCAATTTCTCTGTGGCTTGTGGAAGGAAATTAGTGTTTGTATATTAAATTTCTAGGTTGATACTTATATGGGATTCCTTCATAGCTAGGTGATATGGTGTTAGATGTTAGCAAGTAAGAAATACTCCGTAATACACTGCGTCCTCCTCTGTTGGTATCCTATCATAGGCATAGAAATGAGATTTAGATCTTGTTTGGTAATAGCCAAATTGACTGTATTGGCTGATTCTATTGAAATTTATGAAATTCTGGCTGATGTGACTGTATTAGTTGATTCTGCTGCTCATTAGTGCAAAATAATTTAAAATACATTTTGTTAATAAAATAAAGAAAAAATTACTAGTATATGAAAAAATAGCTAAAACAACCTTCTACAGTAACTTCAACCAATACAGTCAGAAAAGTAACTTCAACCTTACTTTTTCTTATTATTACACAATTCAGCCCGTAAAACCAAAAGTTACGTGTTTGGTGAAAAAGTTATTTTATAAGTCTGAAAAGCTAAAAAACATGGCTACCAAATGGGCACTTAATATCTAACTTACTTGAAAAATCACGTAAAATTGGAACACTGAAATTGTAGATTTAAATAAAGAAATTCTACAACTATCCGACTAAGTCTAACAAATAAAATGTTGACAAAAACGTGAGATTATGTGATAGGTATTAAATCACTAAAATTTGAATAGGATAAATAAATTTGAAATACATACTTCCCTGTTTCACTCCATTAGTTTTTGATTTACCTTCCAATTTTTTTTTTCGTTCGTCTCAAAAAAATCTTCTATTTCCCTTTTGACAAATAATTTGCGATTCACAATCATTCATTCCTACACATTTCTCTCTCCTCTGCGCAACTCTCCACCGCACAATATCAACATCTTAACGTATGTGTCAAATGTATATGAGAAGATAATCTTGAGACAGAGGAGTAATCAAAAGTATGACAAAGGTAATGACATAGAGAAACAAAACTATCGACATGGATAAAGTATGTGTATACTAGAAATTCTCAGGTCCAGCAGTTTTCTATCCGAACACTGTCCGAACATCGCCGTTTGGAGTGGTTCCCTGTGGAATTTTTGGATGAATTTTTTTTATCATGTTCCTCTTCAAGTCTAGTTTATCCATACCAAATTTCAGATCAAAATTCGATCGGGAAGACAGTCAAACAATTCGTTGAAGTTTACTACGTTTTTCTATGTATAATTTGGCACAGTTAACTTCAACGAATTATTTGACTGTCTTCCCAATCGAATTTTGAGTTGAAATTTGATATGGATAAACTAGACTTGATAAGGAACATGCTCAAAAATTTTATCAAAAAATTCCACCCAGAAAGTGGCCCAAATGGCGATGTTCGAACGACGTTCGGACAAAAAGCTGATGGACAAGATCATTCCTCTACATATAAATTAATACGTACTCCGTAGTAGGGTTGTAAACGAATCGAATCGAACCGAATAGTGAGTAATATTATTCGTATTCGTATAAATTGACGAATATTCGTATTCGTATTCGGATATTATTCGAATCTTACAATAGATTCGTATTCGATTCGTTTATTGTATTTGAGTATATTCATATTCGAATATTCGAATTCGAATTCGAATTCCAATTCAAATAGTTGAAGTGTAAAAAAAATTCACCTATTCAAATTATGACTCATTTTAGGCATTTTTCGATTTTCACAAATGTATTAAATGAATTATTTCAAAAATTCAATTACTTCAAAACTCAATTGCTAAAGAAACACACACAAATAAAGTAAACAAAGTTAATTCAATTACTCAAACCTAGAATACGTATTACCTATTTTATATTTTAATTTTAAACAATTATATAAATTATAAATATAATAGAATATATATTTATAATTCGTAAATATACAATTCGAATATATTCGAATAACTTACGAATCGAATATATGTATATTCGTATTCGTATTTTATTCGAATAATAAAATTGATTCGTATTCGAATTCGTATTCGAATATTTCGAATTCGAATCATCAATTTCGAATTCGAATCGCGAATCGGATCAAAATTATTCGTTTTGTTTACAACCCTACTCCGTAGTATAAAGATTAACAAACAAATCTCGTGTGATGCTGTTGGACGTTTCCAATTTGGCCTTTTTTTTCTAAATTAATCATATCCACGTAATGGATAACGTACGCATGCCACAGGTCCACGGTGTAGGAGTATCTGTCGAATGAGAGAATGGTCCACGCTACATCCTTTGAATATTCTAAACCATATTGGCATATTCCAATTTCCATCAGTTGTTGGTGTATTTTGGGTAGTTATGGATTCGCCACGTCACGCTTCACATCTTATGCCTGCTCGTCTTCACACTTGTCTGGTCTAGGATAGCTAATACTTGTTCTGTCTCCTAAAAATTTATCAAGATTGTCTGACACGGGGATTAATAAAGTAAAAACTGTATAATTGAAGTTTGTTCATAAGAGAGAATTAACTAAAACCTCTTTACATATTCCGTATTAATCAGATTCCAGTTTACGAAGAAAAGACTTGGGACGTGTATTTTTATTTTTACTTTTATTTAAGTTTCATCTATTTATGTTTTGTACGTCTAATTTGATCTTTTCCGAGTGAAGTTAGTCCAAGTCAAAAATTTACGTACTAAACACTTTATTCTTTATTAATTGTAATGATTTCACTTTTACATTATCCACATACCGTGTCTTTATGGTTGGACTCGGGTCGGGCCACCCGGCCCGTGGACCGGCCTGGCCCGCTACTGTGCGGGACCGGGACCGGCCCGGTTCTCGGGTCCGGGTCCGGGTCGGGCCTAGGCCCGGAGGGTAGGGCGGGTCCGGGCTCGGGTCTCAATTTTGGTGAACCGGCCCGGCCGGGGCGGGCCCGGGCCAAATTGATTTTTTTTTTTTTCATTTTTGGGGTTCCACCCGGGTTGGGCTTGATGGGTAAGATGGGTTTGGGGGGGTTTGGGAGGGTGGGGGTGGGGTTAGGAAAGCAAAAAAAAAAATCCAAACCGAAGGCCCGGCCCGGCCCGGACCCAGACCGGACCCGGTGGCTACCCGGGCCGGTCTCGGGTCCACTATTCTTGAACCGCCGGCCCGCCCGGGCCTAGGCCCGACCCGGACCCGAGTCCATCCCTACGTGTCTTATAGTTTGACTTTACTACTTTAGTAGTTTGATTTTATTTTATTTATTAGTAATGAAAAGCTGAAAACTAACTCAATGTAAATTTGAAAATATGATCGTCTATAATTTTTTCTAATTGTTAATTACATATAGCAATAATCGAGATCGTACTTGCATTGACAAATGTAGAGATTCAAACGGCTTCAATACAATGAAATGATCTTCAAGTACCCAATGGTGCTTTCTGTAGGCGATGAAGAAACCAGTTGATGCGTTTCCGATTATCCCTAGCAAGTTGCAATGTGCAAAAACCCTTCTACTACAAAAGCACCCTTCCCATCTCCATCTAAAAAACCAGTCACCCCTAAAAAACTGACAAAAGCAACACATTCCTTGTTCAATGTAATCAGGCTTAGAGTTGCCTGTCCTTGATGAAAAAGAACAGCTTATCACAAAATAATGGCGAGAAAGCACGTATACCCTCTAAAGAATTTATGAATTCCTCAGCATTCTCCACATTCCCCTGTTTTTTCAGATATTCCACACATATATTCAATGTATCCTTATTAAAATTAGGCGGACACACTGCTACAGCTTTGCGCAAAGCTTCAAGAGCTTTTGGCACTTGATCATCCATGAGATACCCTCCTGCCAAGTGACACCATGTTGCAACTGAAGGGACCCCTCGACTTTCACTCATCCCTCTTTCCAGAAGTTCTTCGGCCTTCTCCAGAAGACCTTTTCTACAGTAAGCTTCAATTAGGTGGTTTGGAATGCGAAAATCATAGGATAAACCCTTTGATTCCCATTCTCCAAAGATCTTCTGTAGGCCTTCTATGTCGTCTAATATTGATAAAGCACCCATCATGCTCATGTACCCCTTATTATTGATCTTTTTTTCTTTCTCCTTGAACAAATCCCATATCCTGTAAACTTCTTCTTTATTTCCAAGAACTGCATATTTTGTCAACAAATAAGTATATGCGGAGGAATTTTCGTCCGTCCTGGAAGGTATCAATCCCTCGAGCTTCTTCATCATTTCCAGAGCTTTGTCTAACTGCCCGACTTTCATATACCCTTCCACTATGGCACTGTACGAATTCCAATTTAGAGTGATCTTTGGATTAGATTCCATCATCTCAACTGTTTTATCTATTCCATCACAGTCACCAGCAGCAGCATATGCATTTAGGCGGATACAAACAGTGTACCTGTCATAAGACAGACCCTTTTTGTCCATTTCATTCATTAACTCATCAAGTTTTTCCCATTTTCCCAAACTAGAGTAGAGGTTCATCATAATATTGTATGGTAAGGGTGCCTTGGTCCATCCCATATCCCTTAGCTTTTGCATGGTGACTTCTGCCTTTTCCAGAGATTTTGCACGGGCGTAGCAATTGAGAAGTGCTATATGGGGAATATGGCGTAAATGATGGAATTTGGATTGAGAACATATTTTATCATTAAAATATTGCTCAACCTGTTCTACTCCGTGAACTTTGAAGATCAAATTCATCCGTGCGGCATCATAGAGAGAATCCATCGAAATATATTCTTTTTCATCCATCCATTCTGAAACCTGTTATTACAATAAGAAGCAGAAATGAAAAGACCTATTATTAGTAGAGCAGTGGAGCTAAACCAGCTATAGTGCATCGAAGGTTCACTATTACTCTATATACTATATGGTCCTTAACTTTCTTTTAGACTCAACATGCAATCTTGGACGCGATTTTCACTATGGGTCATCCGGAAACAGTCTCTCTGTGCTTTAGTACAGGGGTAAGACTGCGTACATCCGACCCCCCCTTACCCCACCGTAGGTGGGAGCCTTTGCGGCACTGGGGTAAATGAAAATGAAATGAAATGAAAAATAAGAAAGGTACTTAAACTACTTTCATACTAGTATATATTATGATTACTAAATTTCAATTATGGAATTTCGGATCAATTTAGTTATTAATGTACTGAAATACTCTTTTCAATTCAATCCAATTTGGGACTAAGAACATATTCGTATGAATACTAACATCTATTTATATATAAGAAAACAAACAGCTCATCTAAAGACAATTTTAACCTTAATGAAGCTTACGTGTCTTTCTACCCACATTTTTCTGCTCTCATTCCTTAATGCCACGTGGCATTTTTTTCTAAGCCGTTGCTATTGCTACTCACAAAGAATGAGACGGTGCTCTCTCTTCTTAAAAATCCAATTTTTTTTAAAGTGTTATAACTTTTTCATTTTTGCTCCAATGTTTCTAAAAAATATATCAAAATTCATAATTTTTTGTGATCTTTCATATGAGATCAATATTGAATATATAAAAATATAATTTATTAACGTCCTCAATATTTATGTTTAAAATTGTTTATATTTATATACTCCCTCCGTTTCATAAAATTTGGTCAAAATTGTCTTGCACGTAGAATAATAAAATACAATTTGTGTAGTTGATATTTCTGTAGAGAAATGAGAAACAACTTTAACCACATATTTCTTCATTTATGTGGAAATGACAATGTTTTTTGAGACAACAAAAACCTGAAAGTTTGCAATGTTTTATGGGGCGAACGTAGTATAAGAAAGTAGTAGGTTATTAAAAAAAATGTTTTACCCCGTTTATTATGCAATTTGTCTATTTACCAGTGTTAGAGAGCATTTGCTCTACTTATGCTACGTGACTTCATCATTTGCATTTTTTTGTTGTCTTTATTAAGGAACGAATTACGAAGATAGAAAATATAAAAGTTTGGCTTACTAAGGGAGTGTTTGCAAGAAATTAAAAAGTGTTTTTCAGCTTATGGCTTTAAAAAATTGAAATCAGTGTTTTCAAGTAACAGCTTATGCCTTAATATTTTTTACGATCTTTCATATGACACCTATATTGCATATATAAAAATTTTTAAAACAAAAATATGAAGGTTTATTAAATCCTCATATTTTCCAACCACAATATCAATTATTCCGTATAAATGAATACATAATTTGTGCTACCTCCGTCCCATAAAATAGTACCCATTTTGATTTGGATCGGAGTTTAAGAAAGTGAGAATAAAGTGGAAGTGTATGGTTGTGATTGAGTAAGAAAAAGATAAATGAATGTTAACCACACAAAACTTTTCGAAAAGAGAAATGAGAACTATTTTTTGGGACGGCTCAAAAAGGAAAGTGAGAACTATTTTATGGGACGGAGGAAGTAATATATAAGTAAACTAAGGATAATAGATATAAATATGACTTATTGATTTTTAGTAAATATAATTGTGTTTCAAATTATATCAAAGTGACTATAAAAGGATACTCATAGCCAATTCAGCTACATTGTTGTATATGTAATATTTGTTTTATGAAAGATCATAAAAAACTGTGAAGTTTAATATGTACATTGTGATGTATATCGTGCATCTTTACCATTGGAAATAGCAAAGGAGGATAGCTAACTCATGAGATTTGCAATTCAATCTGTAGGGCAAGACATTATACACATGGATCTCATCATATTAGAATATACTCCCCTTATCTCATAAATTTCTTTCCACTCACCATTTTGGGATATCCCAAAAAAATCTCCTCATTTACCCTTTTGGGGAGTTTTGTGTGGCTAAGATTCATTTACCTTTTTCTTATTGAATCTTAATCTCACATTTCCACTTTATTCGTACTTTCTTAAATTTCGATCAAAGTCAAATCGGGAAGATTTTTATGGGAAGGGGGAGAGTATTATTATTTCCGGCGAACCAAATCACCTTTAATAGTAAACAGAATGAGCATTCTTTTTTTTTAAATACAGAATGAAAATCCTTAAAAATTCACATTTCATTAAATATATAAATATATTTGAATTTTGTTATTATTGTAAACTTCCAATTTTGTACATACAAACGAGATAGACTTACGAAAGAGTTTCAGATGCTTCCTAATCTAGCATTTGGAAGAATATTTGAACAAAAAATGCATCTCTTACTATATAACGGGCCATGAAAGAAGCACCGTACAAGATTACCAACGGGAATAAGAGGCCAAATCGAACTGAATTTAGAAAAATGAAAATAAACTTGCGAATAAAAGTTCACACTATTCATAATAATGAGCTGAAGAATTATCTCTCATATATAGTTTTTTTAAGTATATGATATGCCGGGTAACAATTGAGTGAAAGAACATCTCTCTCATACGTAGTACTTTGGAGTTCAGCTTCTCTCCATTTCTCATCCATTTCTTTTTTCTTCTTATCAATCTCTACTTTTTTCTCTATCTTACTCATCAACATACCCCACCATAATTTCCCTCATCTCTATCTCTCTCTAACTGGAAGTATCCAGTTACTGGAGAGGATCCAAATTCTACTTTTAGATATAGGGTAAGCTAGCTAAGAATTGAGCGGGATAACTTTCTTCTTATAAGCTTCCCATTGATCTTTGGAGTGTTCGTGTCGCTAAAATTCATTTACCTTTTTCTTACTCAACCACAACCTCACTTTTCCACTTTCTTCTCACTTTCTTAGAGCCTGTTTAGTATTACCCAAATCGACTGAATCAGCTGATTCTGCTGAAACTTATGAAGTTTTGACAGAAGTGGCCGAAGTGGTTGATTCTGTTGACTTATGAAAATGAAGAAAAACTTATATGTAATGGACCATGAAAGAAACATTGTAGTAGAGTACCAACTAGAATAAGAAGCCAAATGAAACATGAAGAAACATCAAAATAAACTTGTGAATCAATACTCACACTATTCATAATAACGAGGGGGAGAATTTCTCTGTCTCATATGTAGTTATTTAAAGTATAAGATAAGCCGACTAACAATTGAGCGAAAGAATTTCTCTCTCTCATATATATAGTACAATTGAGCGGGAGAACTTTCTCACTTATATGTAAGAGTTTTAGGTACAAGAAGATAATAATGCTAATAATTGAGCGGAAAAAATTTCTCTTTCATATGTACTAGGTTTCAAGCTCGTGCGATGCACGGGCGGTATATAATGTGACGCAAAAGCAAATTAAACTCAGTCTAAATATAGAGTCCGTTTGATAATACTAATATTGGTGGAATCGGTTTATTTTGCTGAAATTAATTAAATTCTAGCTGAATAGGTTGAATAGGTGAATATCCCGAATCATGAAAAAAAAAAATCCATTTGTTAAATAAAAAAAAATTATATGAAAAATAGTATAAATGGTCTTCTACATAAGCTTCTCTACTAAACATAATTGTTATGAACCCGATTTTAAAGAATTCATAGAGAAGCTTCTTAATTATTTTCATGTCCTCTAAATTACTTTATTATGCGCCTCAAAATATTTTTTTTAATATTCCTCATTCAACTTGGTATGAAATATGGAGTACATACTTTTAATAGTAAGATTTTACATTTTACTTATTATTTCATCACATTGAAAACATCATTAATAATGACGTTTTTAATTGAATTAAAATTTTCAGCTTTGATTTGGTCAAAAGTAATATGATCTGGTAGATTTCTGTTTGACATTTTATGTGTCCAATTATTATTAAAGTTTAATCTGATCTGATTTAGTCTGAGACTGAAATCAATCTAATTAAAAACATCTTAAGAGTAAACAAAATTAGGAATTTGTAAACATATAAAGATTTTCTAATTTAGATTAGGAATCGATCTATTTCAAAAGTGACGGAATCTAGAGTCATTTGTTTCCATATCAATATGCAATCAAAAATAGAATCCAATCAAAATAAAAAGGTACAAAGTATAAAAATAACTAAATAATTGTAATATATGATGGATGACATGGCAGGATTATGTGACGCTTTGTATGCTCTTAAAAGTTCCTCTTATATATATATATATATATATATATATATATATATATATTGATTACTTTTAGATATTAGAAGATAAGTTGCTAACAGTTGAGCGAGGGAATGGAGCGGGAGAATTTATCTCTCATATGTAGTGTTTTTAGGTATAAACTAATCCGACTAACAATTGATCGAGTGGGACAATTTTCTGTCATATGTAGTTCTTTTAGGCATAAGAGAAACTGGTTGAAAACTTAGCAGAATAATTTTCTCTCTCTCATATGTTAGTTCTAATTTAACTGATGAGTACCAACTTCTTTTTCAACTAATAGTATTCATCAATTTTAATAATTATTCAACTCACTTAAACTTTATGTCACCCACCTATTGTTCTCACTTTTTCTATCATTTGCAATAGAGCCAAAGATTCATTATTTTTTGGCTTGAGATTATGATGGAATAAAGCAAAATGGCTCACTAAACTGTCTGCGCTTCTTTGTTATGGAGCAGCAGTCAGTCCATGCAATCTTGGACGTGATTTTCACTATGGGTCATCCGGAAACAGTCTCTCTGTGCTTTAGTACAGGGGTAAGATTGCGTACATCCGACCCCCCCTTATCCCACCGTAGGTGGGGAGCCTTTGCGGCACTGGGGTAAATGAAAATGAAAATGAAATGAAAATTTATAAGTAGTAAATTATAATGAATGGTGTCAATTGATTTTTCCTAATATACTCTCATTGGATATGTATTTAATGGGCTTATACTTTATGGTATTAGCTTATTTTACTCTTATTTTTCAAAAATGTTGAATTCTACAAAGTATTTTTATTTTAATATTTAATTAAATCGTGAGTAAAAATATATGCACCAAATGTTCTTTCCCGTGCATACGCACGGGTACTTGTAAATTGAATCCAATAGAAAGCACATGACCAAATAGAGTAACAGGGAATAATCTAAGGACTAAATAATACGTAATACGTAGTAGCATTAACTCAGTAGTCATTATTAGTGAATCTATTAAAAGAAGCAAGTTAGGTTAAAATTCAAATCGAACAAAAAAAAATCAGAGAGCACAATGGGGCTCAATTACCAAATCAAACAGAACAACTAAATGAAAGTATAATGCTCTCTAACGTTACCTATATTAAATACCACATAAGTACAGATAGATAAAACATATAGAGAGAAATAAGTATATACAGACCTCAAGGGCATGTTTATATCTTCTGAAACGAGTAAGCTCTTTGATGATTCTATGAAGATCAGATTTGTCAGCATGCTTTCCTTCTTCGATCCACTGATCGAGAATCGGGCGGACAGAGACATTTGGGTCACCAATGGGTGAAATTCTCTTGTAGAGACGGTCAGAACCATAGCGTGGCTTCACTGAAGAAGCTGAGGTACAAAAACGCTTCAACGAGCTTTGGACAGTGGATTTGACGTTTGCAGAGTTCAGTATGGTCGAGAGAAGAAGCTTCATTTCTTTAGGGTTTAAGAACGGGGCATTAACGAAGAAAGGAGGGCATTAACGGGGCGTTACATGATGGCTTTGAAGGGCACGGATCTGGCCCCGGGCCAAATTGCACTTGGGTCTTTTAAATGGGAAATATTAGGACCGAAAATGTCAATATAAGGTGTTTGTGTTAACTTTTTAAAGATACTTCTCTTCTTTTTTGTGGGGAGAAGTGGATATTAGAGCGTTTGAATAAAATTATTTTTGGGTGCTCTAAATTGCTCATCCAAGCAAGTTTTTAAAAATCGAGAAAGAATTGGTGTTGATTCTGCTTTTGAAGAAAATGTAGAATCATACTCCCTCCGTCCATTAAAATTTTGCCAACTTTCCTTTTTTGGATGACCCACTAACTTTGCCACTTTGTTTTTTAAGTAAAGAATTTGTGGTTCCAGTTAATTCTCTCCTCTACATAAACCTCTACCACACAGTTTTTATTTTATTATCTTCGTGCCGGTCAAACTTGACAAAGTTTTAAGGGACGGAGGGAGTAATTTATTCTCTACGACATAAAAACATTTTACATAAAGAATTGCACTCCATTCACTTTGGTCTAAAAAATTGCACTTGTGGAGTCTATACCTCTATTTTACATTTTTTTACTTCATTCAAATTTTCAATCCTCTCGCTTCAAAATGCCCGATCATTGACAAAATCACATAAAAATAGTAGTGTCTAAGCTAGGACAAAGATTTTTGACCCGTCATCTTTCATGTTAAAAAAGTAACATCTCATAGTTTTATATGAATATAGTTGTTCTCATAAAAACAATTAGACTCATAAAAAAAGAAAATAAGTTGGAGATGAAACATATAAATGATGTTTATAAAAACATTGTTAGAAATATGGGATAATTTGAGTTTGCACCCCACTTTATTGTCGAAATTAGACTTTGCACCCCGTTTTTGAAATCCTTAGTATTTGCACCCTAACCCCGTATGAAAAGACAAGAATGCCCCTCGATCAGAAATATGTTGAAGGCCAACAAAATTGTTAACTGAGGGGCATTTTAGTCTTTTCATACGGGGTTGGGGTGCAAATACTAAAAATTTCAAAAATGGGGTGCAAAGTCTAATTTCAACAATAAAGTGGGGTGCAAACTCAAAATATCCCTAGAAATATACTAATTTCGGCTTCTTATGAAAAATAGATAGTATTGAAGATTTGTAAAAGCCATCATCATTTCTGCTCATATAAATATAAGTTGTGTTTTGATATACACGCTATTTTGGATTTGTGCACATACTAGAAAAGTCTATTTGAAGAATGACACTATCGGGCAAATAGTGAGAGTAGCCCATGTTAGACGAATAGAATGAGCATTTCAGTGGTTTGACCTTGTGTGTAGATCGAAGATCAAATGATGCACATTTAAGTGAATTGAGAGGTGGGAGAGCGGAGGCACGAAGGATAGGAAAGAAACGACCTAGACAAACGTAAATTAGAGTAATCAAGAATGGTATGATACTTGGTGCGTTGGATGAGAATATGAGTCATATGTGTGAAAGATTGATTTGATGTTATTTCACTCTTGCTCTATTTTTTTTTTAACTCCATTGTCATAAATCAATTCGTGTTAGCCAACAACAGAACTCTTTTGGATTAATATTATTGTATTATCATTTTGGGCAAATGTGACAAACCATAACTAATAATTTTCTGTAAATATTTGACAATTTTCTTGTTGTGGATATTCACTTCTGTAAACGAGTCATCATTATCTAAAACATCAAATGGACAAACTATAGGTGGACATATTGTCCCTGGAATGTTAGATAGATCTTCACTGATAACGTTTAAACAATCGACCATTTTGTTAGCTTTGCATAGCTACTACAAGTTTTGTGAGTCCGAGAGCAGGAAAAATGATAGCAAGAAACACAACGGGTTTGGTGTTGGTTATCCTTTCAATTAAAATTCTTATGATCATGTTAGTAATGTAAACCTATTGGCAGCCCTCACATAGAATTACATATTACTTCGTACTATACGTGGTTATATAATATACGGAGTATTTACTTTTTTTCTGACCATACACGATTACTTATCTTATTTGCCATTTCAAAATTTCTAGCAAGCAATAAGTACAAGCATTTAAATAATCAAAAGTACTATTTGTGTAAATAGAACTAAATAACTAAATAACTCTTTGTGCTAATCAAAACAATAAATAATTAAAATGTAAATAGAACTAAATAACTAATGAGTTGCATAAGACGGAGGAAGCTGCAACATATAGCTAAAGCCTAAAGGTTTAACGATCATAGAAATCAGACTGATTTTAACAAGTCATCACAATTTGCAATAGCCCGCACAGGGACACGAAGAAGTTATAAAATTTTGATCAAATTAAACAGAGTACTTGGACCGAAAACATAACAAAAAATGGAGAACCCTAGGTGCAGAAATCTCTGATAGTCCACAACATGCCTTACATCTCGGATATTGTTCAAGTACTATTTAGAAAAGCAAGCCAGGCAGAAATCTTTCTCTTTATATATGTATATGATTATTACTTATTCAGATAGAATAGACTTGAGCTCACCATTGTTCTTCAACTCCAAAATTATGTCACATCCACCAATCAGCTCTCCGTTGTAGTAGAGCTGTGGATAAGTCGGCCAGTTGGAGAATGTCTTCAATCCCTCCCTCACTTCCTCGTCAGTCAATATATCAAATGACCCAAACTCAACCCCCTCCTCATTCAAAGCCTTTACCACCTTCGAGCTAAAGCCGCATCTCGGAGCATCCGGTGAACCTTTCATGAAAAGCATCACAGTAGAAGAGCTCACCAATTCCTTCAACCGTTCATCTATCCCGATAATACCCTTCTCGAGCAAAACCTTTTTGAGCTCCCCACTCTTTTGCATCTCTAATACAATATCAGACCCACCAATGAGCTCGCCCTTTAGGTAAAGTTGAGGATAGCTTGACCAGTTGGAGTAGACTTTCAGTCCTTGGCGAACTTCATCATCTGTGAGGATGTCAAAACTCTTGAAATCAATTTTCTCATGCTTAAGGATGTCCACTACTTTGCGACTGAACCCACATTTGGGCTCCTCGGGCTTCCCCTTCATAAAAAGCATAACTGGGCCAGAATTAACCAGGCCTTCAAGACGGGTTTTTAGTGTGGCACTCAGGCCAGATGGTTCAGGTGATCGGCTTTCAACTTGTGAAGAAGTGGCATTGTCTTTGGCAAGGTTTTGCACTGTCTCTATAATAGTTGCCCCAGCAGCCATTCCTAGGCTAGCTGGAGCAGCAGGTTCTCCAGGTGTTATTTTCCCGGAAAGTTTGGAAACCTTGTTGGCCAGAGCAGATGGATCAGCGCCTTCCATTGTATCTACGGTTTTGCCATCCTATGAGAAGGAAGAAAAAACAACAATTAGCAGTGAAGATAGTCTTGGAATTATATATACAAGGCAGGCAGAAAAACAGAAAAGGTTGTCTCGATTTAATCATCTAATAAACATAGAGATGCCATGCATAAATGTAGAGCCTGAAACCTTGTGACTAAGAGACACCGACAGGGAAGAGAAAATATTGATGAGAAAAACAACATGTAATAGTCTAGGAATACGAAAGGGGTAAGGATCCTTTCGGAACATGGCAAATACCATGGAAAGAATGTGGGGATGGCTATGAAGTAGAAATATTGAATGAAATGAAATTCAGTGTAACACAAAAGAGACTCAAACTAAGTTCTTTTACAAACTCACTTTGTTTATTATTCCTATTATATTAAGGTTTAAGAAATTTAAATACGGAGTATGTATTTAAAACAGAATCACATTTCATTTTCCATAGAAGTTTCCCGGGTAAATCCAATCATTACAAAATAAATTTCCCAACAAACTTTTATTCCCCTTTCTAAAGCATTTTCCAAGATCATAAGCATACCCTAAAGGTATTGAAGGAACAAAAGAGTTTGTGTATACCAAAGTTGAAAAATATAGCATAATGCCATAATCCTTAAGCCCCATGGCTTATATTTTAAAACATGTTGCATAAATGTCTGATGACTGCTAGGGCAGATAACTTATCAACCCCATGGGCCACATGAGTTCAAGCCTTGAGGGAAATTCTAAAATGGTGCACCTATGTTTCAGGAACAAGCATTTATAGCGTCACTTTATGTAGGTGAGATGCTCAGTAATTTCTAGTTTACACATATGGAAATAACTAATTGGGGAAAATGAATTCAATAAGAGAACAAATAAAAATGACAATTCCCATGCATATGATCTAAAATAATCTTTTCCCTTGTGCCATACACAATCAACCACATAAATGAACAATGAGATTAAACACGAAGAAAAGCATATGCTGTAGTACACACAAACATTCAATAAAAACACATCCAGTTTTGTTACCTTGAAGAAAACAAAATAAGGAACTGCTGAGACTGAATATGCATCTGAAATTTCCGGCTGCTCTTCAGCTTCAACCTATAGTTGCATGAGGGGTGTATTAAATGTGTGCATATGTCAAATTAGGGTAAGAAGAGAATATCAATACCCGAAAGCGATTGCAACTTATAATTGAGATATCATATTTCCATGGTCAGGTGCACAGGAAGTGTCCACTTGTTCATAGATACAGAGTATGGTTGTTCAACAAGAGCACCCAATTTAGGTTACATAATGGAAAGCAATTCTCACATGCAGCAACAGATAAATACAGTACTCATGATTACAAGGGTCAAACGAATCAATCAAAAATTAAAAACAAAAAGTTAAAATAAAAAGGTAACATAACTAAGGTCAAATGCGGATAACTGTATTTAAACAGGTTTAAGAAGGAGTAATTTACCATGGATAGTTAATGTCTTAATGAAGGGGGAAAGCAGACAATTTTTTTGTATAAATAAGAAACTATGCTCAATCTGATAGGACTGCTCCAGTGATATTCTTTTGGATTTAGAGCTTACACTATAATTCAATTAGGGAGTTGGTTTCAGAGAGTTTTGGAAGGGAGGGCTAAGTGTATATATTGATATATATATATTTGAGGGATCTTCATATAAATTGAAGAGTAACACAATTACTGATAAAACAATACTCTAATTGCCCTTTATTTTATTTTAGAAACATTCTTCTATAGAGTAGCCTTCAAAGCCTTCTCCGCTAAACCCATCAAAAACTCTCCATCTCTAGTTATCTTCTAAGAAAGGTATCGGCCATCCTAAAAAAGTTCGTACTTATACTCAAGAGCAAACCTCATGACATTTAAAACTCCATGAACGAACAAAATATATGCATCTAAGGATAATTAGAAAAAGAAAACCTTTTAACCATTCAATAAACAAAAGACTTACAATTTACCATGATCCATAGCTCCCTCACGATTTTAGCATTAATTTTAATAATTCTAAGTCGATTTCTTAACAAATGACAGCCCAATCACAACAGACACATGACGTGTATACAAGCATACACGCAGAAGGCATATGATTTCGGCATGGGCTAAAGGCTTACCCTGAGGAAGTGAGTATGGGGGAAATCAGTGGAGAGGTGGGAGAAGACTTGGTCCATGTGCTTGGAAGCCTCACACCATGTGGCCCAGAAGTGCACAACCGCCGGCGACCCATCGGCGATAACCTTGTTAAGCTCTTCCTTTGATTTGAACTCCTTAACAACTCCACCCATTCTTAATCCTTCGCCTTTCTCTCTCACTGTGTGTGTGAACTGCAAAATCCGCTCTACTCTGAATATTAGGGATCGCAAGAAATCAGCCAAAATTTGTAATTGCACGCAGGGGAGAAAACAAATGCGCGTAATAATCATATGATTTCTTTTTTCGGAACAAAAAATAACTAAAATATTGTAAACTTTGAATAAAGGTGAGATAAACTCCCCAAAGTTACATTTATAAAAAGTTATTTTAACACTATAGTAAAGTATTATTTCTTTCAAAAATTTAAATTTATGGTGTTAATTGCATAATTTAAAATTATTTTAGAATTTATTATGACACAATTATCATTTTAAACTTCCATTATGAAATAAATAATGTTACCCTCAATCTATATAATTGCAACAATTTTAATTTTCTATTTTAAATTATGCAATTAACTCCATAAATTTACATTTTTGAAAGAAATAATACTCTCTCTGTTCTTTTTTAGTTGCAACGGTCAAAATTTCACATTTGCTAACGCACGTCTTTGACCGTAATTATATCTTTATTCTATTAGTAAAAAAAATATTAAAAAAACAGATTTTGAAAATTTGTAATGAAATGAATTGAACAATATTTTTAAAAAAAAATATTTTTCATAAAATAATAGCGTACAATGTAGTCAAAGTAGAGCATGTGAATAGTGTAAAATTCAACATGTTACGATTAAACAGAATGAAGGATAGTACATGATAATGGTGCAAAAATAACCTTTTATTTATAATTTAGACTATTTAAATTAGATATGCAAGTTTGAGGTGTTTACCTTACACACTCCTTCAAAAGTCAACATATTTTTATTACAACCATGATTGATGTACACACACTTGTACACACCTTATACACATCATGTTTGTGAAGCTTTTTTTTTGTCTGTGAACCCGATTCATAGACAATATTTTGTTTGTGCAAAACATTGTCTGTGAATCGATGTTCACAGGCAAAAAAAGTTTTCACGGACATAGATGTGTACAAACATCATTTTTGTTTATGATGTTTGATACTTTGTAGTACAAGAAAAGTATTGGGCATGTAAACGCATGCTTGATACTTCGTACTTCTGACATGGGCGTCCATATAGACTATATAGTGATATAAGGTCTAGGTTTAATATATCACAAATGCTAAAGGTACCCTAAAATGTACCCCATTTTTACCCCACCTCTCAATATGTGGTCATAAATAGGGGAATTCATTTAAGTGGTGCCCCACTTAAATCGCTAGGCGTAAGTGTGTAAACTCATCGCAACGACACTGCAGCATCCGCGTTTTCCAAATTTGGAAAACTAGTAAAATTCACTTCTCCAATTCCTTAAGGAAAATAGAGACACATCTCATTTTTTGGTTTTGGAAAACGAATTGGTAAACACATTTTTCCATTTTTCTTTCTCCAGATTTCCAACAATTTTTTTGGGTAAACACGTTTTCTGCTTTCTTTTTTCCATTCTTTCAATTTTCTGGAAAACTGGAAAATATCTCTGTTAATAAACAAGCCCTTAGTCTTTTAAAGTATTTGTGTTCTATTGTCGTGGTGTATTTTCTAATCTAAGAACTTTGAGTACATTCAATTTACTAGTTTTTCACCCGTGCGTTGCACGGGGTTAGCAATTATGAAATTATTTATAAATCACTTGAGTTTTCCCAGTCAATTAATTAAATTAAAATTCACATTGTTGACTATATGCAAGTGTACACAGTATCAACTAATTTGTAGGTTATATTTTAATATGTATCAATATAGTAGTCCTACAAAAAATCAACATGTATAAAAAGTGAGTTTACAATTATGATTCTCGCAACTTATCCTCAAGAATATAGGGACCTAATAAATACATCAATAAGAACTTAATAAAGATGTTAATACTAAAACAATCAAAAGAGATTTGTAATATAGCAACAATTTATATCCAACATAAATATATTTCAAGAATGTGAGATTTGTACAAAATTGATCTCATAACTCCTGAAAAAGTTGATGATTCTAGTGATAAATCTCATCCTCTATCGAAGCTGCAAGAAGTGTAATGGAAATGAAAAACTGTTATGTTAGTTGAATAAAGTAAAGAGTTATATCAAGTTCATAATCATCCCATAGAAGTACAACTAAAAAATACAAAAACAATGCTGATAAATCATACAAAGTATATATGTGAAATGAAATATAAGTGTCTTTCAATAAAGATTGTTGATAATAATGAGAAAAAATGAAACTGTTGATTGCTTGGTTTCTTAAGAGTGGGCACTAATTACTTGTAAGATTTGACAGAGTAACACCGATGAATGATATCTATTAAATAAAACTGTTGATAAATAATATACCTACATGGTATCACCAAGCCTTGAAGTACCTATTAACTAATAACCTTTAGATAATTTAATGAAAGAAGAGTTACAATGAAATGAAAATTAATACTATGAATAACATTAGTCAAGAAATTAATTTATAGTCTAAAGTCAAATATACATACCTTATTATTAGAAGCATGACTAATTTAGTCCAAATTTCTAAAAACCTCCTTATAAACAACATTGGTTGTTGAGTTTGTAGAACGATCATCTTTATCACATATTAAGATCTTCAAATCTTCACGCTTTGTAACTCTAGAGACTCCAACATATAATTGTCCATGTGTAAAAACTGGGTTTTGCAAGAAAATTCCAACTCTAGAAAGCGATTGTCCTTGACTTTTATTAATAGTCATCGCATATGAAACAAAAAGTGGGAACTGCCTTCTCTTGAAGTTAAACGGTAGACTCAAATCAGATGGGGTTAATGTCATTCTTGGAATCAAGAACTTTTCCCTTGATTAAATTCATTCAAAATCGATGCTTCTATAACATGATCAGCAAGTCTTGTGACCATTAATTTTGTACCATTGCAAAGACCAGATGAGTGATCAATATTTCTCATCAGCATAACAGGAACACCAACTTTTAGCTTCAATTCATGATTGGGAACTCCTGAGCACTTAATTCCATTTAAAAATTCTGGAGTATGTAGCTCACTAAGCAATTGATCATCAGAATCCGACTGACAAATTTCATCAGAACTAAGATAAGTGCGCACATCAGATTGATCTTTCGAAACCATGTAATCATTAATCATGTCAACCATAGAAAATGTAGGTGCCAATATTGCCCTTCCATCTAAGTATGTTGCATCTCCAAAATGTGAAGTAAAATCAGGATATATAGTATCTACTATAGATGCAACAGGGTCGGTTGAGCTATTTATTAGAAGATCTTCAGGAATTTCAACAATTACATGTCCTTCATCATCTTCACCAAGTATGCCATCCCCAAGACTTAAGATCCACTCAGCAAAAGTTTGCAATTCACTGCACGAAAGGTCACCAGATTGATCTTGCAATCTCATATTCTTTGTCAATTTCAAGACCTTAAATAAGATTAGAAGTCATTCTTTAGAGGAAAACTGAGTTGAAATTCCGAAAACTCACAAAGAACATAATAATTTTAGAGATACACCTAACTGTTCTGTAATGGAGTGCCCACAAAATTTAAGATGAAAATTCAATTGGGGAATCAGTTAAATAAATTATAGAACAGAACTACGCTTTATATATATATATATAAATAGCGCATTATTTTTCAATAACTTATTTAATTGACTTCAAGATTAAATTTTAAGTATAAATTTTGTTGTAATATTTTACACTTTATGAATAACATTTTCACAAACTTTCATTAAAATTTTCTACCGGGAACAACCTGAAACGGCGAATTCCGTATGGAAAGTCCGGTCACGAAAGTGTGACATGAACAGGACTATATATAACATAAGGAAAACTTTTGGTAAGTTAAAAAGGATTTAAAAAACAAAATAAAACTGTATAAAGGATGTGCGGAACATGAGAGATATAACAAATATTATAAAATAAAAGAAAAAAATAAAGAAAATTGTGTTAGTTGCTACGCATATAAATATGCTTAAGGTCATATTAAATATTATTTAATAATAATTATTAATAATAGTTAACATTTTGAAGTTACTTTTGAAGAAAAATAATGCATGACATACCTTACAATACTTGTCGAAAATCTCCTCCCAAGACCACAGTCTTACCTCCGAAGGGCTGATTCATGCTCAGCGGATTGGTCGTCCGCATAATGTCACGCATGGTTCTGTCCAATGCTTCAAAGCAAAACTTATGAGCCAAAGGAGCCTCATCCCATATGATAAGTTTTGCAATTTGTATTAATTCCGCTAATGGACTTCCTTGTCTAATATTGCACATTGAATCTTCAAATACATTCAAAGGGATAGCAAATCTGGAGTGTGCAGTTCGCCCTCCTGGAAGTAGAAGAGATGCAATTCCCATATGATAAGTTTTGCAATTTGTATTAATTCCGCTAATGGACTTCCTTGTCTAATATTGCACATTGAATCTTCAAATACATTCAAAGGGATAGCAAATCTGAAGTGTGCAGTTCGCCCTCCTGGAAGTAGAAGAGATGCAATTCCACTTGATGCCACATTCAACACTATATCTCCTCTTGATCTTATTGCAGCAGATAATGTTCTCCAGATGAAGGTCTTCCCAGTCCTGTAACACCCCCAAATTTATCACCCAAAAATACATTTAAATAATGATTTATCGGAAAGTAATACTAACTTCATTTCAAAACACCAGAAAATGTGCAGCGGAAAATTCAAAGGAAATAGGGATGCTACCGCCACACTCGGTTCTAATCTAACCGAGTGCACAGGCTAAAACAATTTAACTCAAAATAAATTAAACTTCTAAAATAAATGTTCACTAATTTAAGATGTTGAAATTGTAATTACAATTATTTACTAATTTGGTGTTCTAGCGGAAGCTCTCTCGCAATCAACATCATCAACGATCAACTCAATACCTGTACAAAATCAAGTAGAGAAAGAAAAATAAAAGAAAACAAATATTAGCAATAATGCTAATTAAGTTCCACCTAACCTTTTAAAATAATAATAAATAATATATATATAATTCGTACAACCTTTTAGCATAAAATATTCTTTATAAATCATAAGTAAACGATATCTATACAAAATCCAAATCGCATAACTCGTAATACCATAATACTTCCGAAGTACATGAAACACCAAAATTCTCCTCTTTTGAATTTCTCCCA